GGGGGGGGGAGCAAGGAGAAAGACAAAGAGCGGAAGCTCGGCGAGAGAGAGGCAGGTAGAGCCGCGCGGAAAGGCGAAGAGAGACGGAGCGAGAGGGGTTGGTCGACCCTGCGCGTTATCAAGAGCCGCCCCTCCCGGTCGCCCCTATAACCACCCCGACTTTATATACCCCCCGTGCATCTAAAGAGTACATGCATTCGTGTGTGCGGTGGTGAAAACCCACACAACGTTGACGTGGCTCGTCCCTGGACGGTCGGCCGGGCGCAGAGCGACGCCGCATGGCGTCGGCGTCGGCGTCGGCGTCGGCGTCGCGAGGTCGTCCCGGCACTAAACTCTCTCTAACGACGGCATCGTCGGCCAACCGCCGCCGGAGGAAGCCGCTTCTTCGTCGCCTCGGACGGGCATCCCGTTTTCCCGGACGAGCGGGACGCCCGCAGGAGACGGACCGGAGGGCCGTCCCGAAGGGGCCACCGGGCGCCTCGAAGAGAGACGCTGAGAAGACAGCCCGACAGCCGCGCGAGTGACGTGCAACGCCGGAGCGGAGCGCGCCGCGACGCCGACAGTCGACCGCGGGACGCGTCACGGTCGTCTCACGGGAGACCGGGACCGGGGGCGGTCTGTTCCAGCTGCATCATCCTCCAGTTGGCGTCTGACGTATGAACGGCACACGTCTCTCTCATCTCTTCCCCCGCGCGCTCAGCTCTCGGGCTTTTCTCCAATCCTTTTTTTTTCCTCCCCGGCCGCGCGCATTCTTTCCCATTCTATCCGTTCCTCGGTCTCTCTACGCCTCCCCGATTTTCGTCTTCTCTCTCTTCCTCCACGATTGCGTCGTGCGCTCCGTCCCTCGCGTCGAGCCACATCGGACTCGGCGAATCGCCGAACGAAACGGACGGAGCGCATCCACCGTGAACGTCACTCGTAGCATGTAAACCGAGCGGAGCTGTCATTCGTACGTCGCGAGGACGAGATTCGGAGTGCCGTCTGTGATTCACGATCCCGAGTACGCCCCTTCGGACCCCTCAGTGTGCGGTGCTCGCCGGTACATCGGGAGAGGATCCTACGTCAGATTTCACATATCCTACGTTGATTTCAGTTGGCGGGGCTCACGCGGCAAGTCTTACGCCTGATGACGACGCCGCCGCAAAAATTAACCCGCGAGCGGACGAACAGAGCGACCCAGAGAGGGGACGGAAGGGTCACCAGTGCTAACTCATCAGGTCAGTATACCTTCGGGTTCATCTCTCGTTTCGCGCTTTCAAAATACTTGTAGATGTACCGCGACGATCGCGCACAAATGCATGGTAACCGATGCACCCCGATTGGACGGGGTGTCGAGCATATTGATCGATTGTCACGCGAGCTGCCTCACGCATTTCGGCGGAACGTTTCCGCAACGGCCCAAACAGCAGGCAACCAGTCCGACATCTCGGCACGCTGGGCTTCCAAACTCCACGGGTCCGCGGGAAGATGCGGATTCGTTTTACGACCGATTAGTCACCGTTTCTCTCTTTTCTTTTCTCCTTTCCTTTTCGAGAACGCGTTAAACGGATCTTCGATCTATTCGTCCCCGCGGAACTACGAGGCAAAAACTTTAGGATGTCCGCTCTCGCCATTCAGTATCCATTAATAACTCGAGTGTTATTTATGTGTGTCCGTAGGCGAGCTCGAGATGGCCATGAAAAGCGAAACGCGCGTATGGACGTCTACCGCGTCACGATCGTTGCAATTGGATCACTTGCGTCCCACACGAGTCGGCGAGACTTACCAAACGTCTTGTCTCTCATCTCGGATTTCAATTGCCGACGATCGGGATTGTTTGCGGTGAGAAAAACGCGCGATGTCGCCAACACTGTTACGTCCCTTCGCACAACTCGACTCAAAATTAACCAAAGTTTTACCTGGACCAGGTATGGAGGATACCGAGTTCGAGGTCGTCGCAGCCACTTTCGTGCCGGCAATTCCAGAAGATACGCAATGTTAGTCTACTCTACGCGATGCCAGACTGCCGTCGATCTTATCAGGCTCTGCATCCTTGGCAGGGGCCAGCCACCGACGAGGCGTTATCCGATGAGGAATGTGAAACCCCCTGTACGTATACTGAATGTATCCTGAGTGTATTCCTGTCCGGTATACCTTCAGTATACGTAACAGGAGGCTACACCGAACAACGTTGGGACCTCTTCATCGGCGCAGTTCCCCAATTATCAATAATCTTCGTGCTATAATATAGACAACTTTAAGAAAATAGAGAGAATAATAAAACAGAGACGGAATGATTTACCCAACACGTCGCAAACTGTAACGCGAATACAATTATTCGCTTTCAAAACTATGTAATAAATTTTGCTACGCATAAGTTTACGCGCGAACATCTTCGTGACTTCAATTGTATAAAGTGTACCAATAAAAGGACTATGCACACAATTATTCAGTTACAATGTTAATACATTTAGCTGTACATATTAACTTTACAATTTTTATATTAAATGGAATCATACACCTATGATATTATTACACAGGCGTGACGTACATACGTAAGTCTTTTTCTTAGGACAACAAATTTCAATTTTTTTTCAAGAATGAATGTAGCGTTTGGCTAATCGAACTTGTGCAATAATTGACGCTGCTAATAATTTAATTAAATTGCAAAGTAGCGTTTATTTTATACGTCATGTATGAAGGTGAAACTTTCTTTCGTGCGACAAGAATTCTATTAGTATTTTTATTACATCCTTTGTCAAATGATATTACATATTTAATAAAGTACTGCAATAATTGTGCGTTACATATCACAATTAAGTAAAGTGAACAACGTAATAAATTTAGCAGTAATGAATTTACCGATCTTCTTTTCAAGTACCTCATCTCTAAATTAAATACAATAGATAAATTGTATATGTAGGAACATTGCAGATACACGATAATTAATACAACTTTAGAAATCATAATCACATAATAAGTAAACGTATATACATTATACATATGAAAATTAATGTATCTTTGGAAAAATCACAGCCACAATATGTATGCCTTCCGTAACTGCAGAAATAATGAGATATGCGTGTGAGTTACGCGCGTATAATTTACAAGTTTATAAACTAACAATTCCAAAGAAGTATTAATTTTTCACATCAACCACTTTTCCAAATTCTTAAAACGAATACTTGCAATCGCATTCCAAATCTATTTTAACCTACACTAAATAATACTCTTAACTTGCGCTCTACTATCTAAACTGTAAAATCTATTTCAACTAGAGCATAATTACCTTTCGATATTAATTAAAATTGAAATTATCAATGTTTTATTTTACAATTAGATGTAAAGAGATAGGAAACAGTATAAAAATATAGAAATATTCTATTAATTTATGAATAAGAGGATTAAAAAAACCTGAAAATATTTTATACACTCAATTCTGCGATATTTGTTTTAAATTGAAAGGTGTTTTTTTAAATTGATTTATAATTATTCTATTTATGTTAAATAATAGATAAATGAAGATATTATTGAAAACTTTTAATGCACATTATTTTTATTTACATTTTTATAAATTTAGCTCCGTTTCTGTTTCAAATACATCTATAATACTAAATCAAACACAATTTACGTACAAAGAGAACAAAGATATATTATTTATTCGCTTGGCACGTGCATAGGGATTAAAAGACGTAAATTTAATTTGGTCGAAAGAGCAAAGGACAAGATTTACTAATAAATTTCCTCGGACAATGAAAGAACTATATTATTCCTACATTCAAGGATGACTATTCAAAGATGACATTTTTAGAATAACCCTTTGTAAACTGAATTTTAGTATACGAGAGCAAGGTTGACAAACTTTCCCTTTTCAAACGCTCATAAAAAAAGGTTAAAAGGAAAGGAATTCAGAGCGAACGGTCGAAGCGAATTGCAATTGGTAAAAGGGTTGGGGAAAGGATCAAAGAACGCGAAGAAAAAGGAGTCAGAAAACGCAGGTAGGGTAGGCACAACTAATTGTAAAGTTAAAAAATTTCACCCTTTTAGAGAAGCAAGCCAAAAGTCGCTCAGTTTCCATCAGGTCACGAGTTTGTACAGAGGACAAGAATTTCCGAAGCATTTCAAGATGCTGTTGGCACAGGTTCACAAGTAAGTTACGTATTATTGCATTTATTTAAGTTTATCAAGCGACTTAGATAAACCCTTTGCTGGTAGATTAATCGGTTTGCTAAAGTGTAACATTATATAATTACCGTATTAACCTTCAGCCTTTTGTTGCAAAGCATTTTGTCGAATCCACCTTTATAAGTGATTAAATTGATGGCAATAGAGACAGAATACAGAAGTTGTACAAATGTCTTAAGAAACAATACTCTTCAGTTCTAATAAAATACGTTTCATGTAAAATTATTCGTAACTTCAATAAGCTTCAACATATATTTTCGGCATTTTAAAGTAGTCGAGACTAAGAAAAGTTAACTTGATACACGTGCTTTGTTATAAAGTATCTGACAAATGGCAACTAAACGTGTTAACACATTATGGCCCGGTTTTTCACTTTCTGGTTAACCAGACGTTAATCTCTCCGTCTTTTTCTATGTTATTATCTAAGGACGGAGAATCGACTAATCTCTGGTTAACGATTACACAGAAAATGGAAAACCGCGCCTACATATATTATTACAAAGTTCCATTCTTAGTAATACTAATTCCACTCCTTTAAGACAATACAAATAATTTTCTACTAAAATACACGACGGAGATAACATCTAAAATCTTGGATTTATAATAAACTTACTTGAAAACAAGTGAAATAGAACTCTTAGTTGTCGCATCAAAGCGATTAACATTGTCATCTCGATTTCAACCAGTGCTATCGCAAGCGGGAAACCAGAAAATAACGAAATAAAAATTACTGCTCATTGGAGTAACCATCGCGAGAGGGAAAATTGCGCAAAATCACGGCGAAAAATGCGAAATATATACGGGCGTTGATCGAAAAAGTAACTCGAACTCCCCTTTCGTACCAGCGAGGTATCGCGCCATCGTCCGCGAGCGCTTTTCCATCTCGCGGGCGTAGCGATATCTAGAACATCGAACTCGCGAAATAAATTTCACGTGGCCCCGCGGCAAGGAGCGCAAAGGGTCGCATAGCCGGAGGATGACTCTGAGCATGTCCGACAAACATGAGGAATAATAAAAAATAAAGCAAACTTTACTCGCGGCGGAGAGACTGACGGGGCGAGATAGAGGGAATCCGCGGGGCGCGGGGACAGAGGAGGAGCGGAAGGGAAGGACAGGAGCAGAGAATTCGGGATGAGACGGACGAGGACGGGAGAAGGACGTGTCGCGGAGTCTAGAGCGAGGAGAGGATGGAGAAGGACGGTGAGACGCGCCATTGGGGATGTCGGATGAAGAAGCGCGCCGAGGGAAGGAGACGGGACGAGGGACACGGCGACGAGGAGCAAGACGGAGGAGCAGCGCGTTCTCGCTCTCTCTCCCCCTCTTCCCGCGGCCAATGAGTCGCCGTCGTTTTGATGGCCCAACCCTCGCGGCAACATGGCCGCCAAGTGCAAAAGGGAGCTTAAGTAAGGGTTAGGTTAGGGCTAGGTTAGGTTAGGCTAGACTCGTCCTTTCTGGACCCGCTTGCTTTTGTGAGAGAGCTGCGCTCAGCGCAGCGGAGCGGAGTGGGGTGGGGTGGGATGGGGTGGGGTGGGACGTTGTCAGCCATCATGGGATAGGAAATGCAACGCTCCGTATCTCCATGCTTCTGGCAACTTTTGAAATAATGGAAACGTAATCGCGCGACTTCTGCGTCTAAATAGTCGGGATGGTCGTCGCTATTCGCCGGTGCTCGGCGACGAGTGTCGTCTTAATTGCACTCGCGCACGGCCGGAGGATTTCCAATATCGGAGTGAAGCACGTGAATTAAGCTAATCCCGCGCGAGTTATCGTATTAGAGATCCCCGCGAAACACATTTTATTCGCCAATTACAAAAATGGCGGCTATCGCTACCGTAAAACTCATGGCCGGGGCAATTTTCTGTCGCGATCCCGCCGCGAGTGAGAAACGGGATTAGTTTATCGCGGGTTTTATTCGGAGGAAAACAGAGCGGTTTGCCGGCTCTCGGTCGCAGGTTGAATCGTGCGGAGGGGGAGAGGGGGGAAAAAAGCAAAAACCGGTTGCTGCCTTCGCCGGTCGCTATCAAAAGCGGGTCCGCTAATTTGACGTTTTCCACATCGCTCGAATGATCATGATATTGAATGATCGATAATTGGCTTCTAATACGTGAGTTTCTGTGTGTGTTAACGTAACAGCATTAGCCTGTGATGCCGTACAGATAATTACGAGGGATTTTGCGAAAAGGCAAGATAAGCTAATACGTTAAGAATCGATCGATTTCATATTTATCGTCCACTTTGATTAAAAGACGCGGAGTGCACGTTATCGCGTCGCTCGCAAAGAGACGTTTGCAAATATTCTCCTAACGATACCTTGTGAAACCGCTTAAATAGTATCGAAATTTATAAATACGCGTGTGTTAAATATTATTCAAAGCAGCCACTTGAGATCAAGTCGGCGCACTTGATTCTTTAGACAGAGTTTTATGGTATTTAATGCACTTTATTGCAGCATCGTTGCACTTAGATTATTGAAAATGTCATAGTATTCGACTTTTACCCAATTTTTAAAAAACAAAATTTTAAAAGCATTCGGCACCGGATTTGTTAATATTAATGACATTTTCAATTTTTCTTTTAAAAAATATTAAGTATATTTGAAAAATTTAATTATATGATGAAAGACATTTAATATCATAACAATGTATGTTAATGATTTCGCGGATTTCTTCTCTAACGATTCCGACGATATTTTCATGGAATGAAATATTTAGCCTCGAATGACTGTTTCATTCCGTTAACGCGCCGAACGCGTATAATGACGTAATTTATTTTTTGGACTATTCTCCACGACACATCTAAAGCTGATCAAAATCGCGGACTCTCGCGCGCGTTTCCTCGTTAGATCGTAAAATCGGAAACGATAAACGCTTGTCAGGTTGTACAAAACGAGATACGCGGCGACATGCACGCCGCGCGGGCATTAAAGCGCCTCGAAGCGCCTTAAAACGTCGCGACTCGCGCGGTATAGAATTGCAAAAGTTCAGAGTGGAGAAGCGCGAAGGCTATGACTTAACGGCGTCAATTAATTCGATATAAAATGAAGGCGCAATTACTTCGCCCGTCTTACGATATTAAACCTGGAATTCATAGCGAATACTGGTTGCGCTTAATTAATTTCTGCCCGTCTTACGGTTGACTTACGGCGGCTACGCGTACGCCATTAATCCTCGCAAATACGCACAGTAGTTGCGCGTACACGCATCAA